CATTTATTGCAAAGAAAAAGTATTGAATTTAAAAAACACTGAATAATAAACTGACCTCGATGTTTCATTTCAAAACGACAAATAAAAATGAAAGACACTAGAAACTTAAAGCAAGCTATGAGTTTTGGTAGTATCAAGTATTTGTTTGCTCATTTTGGTTTAGTTTTTTTAGGCACCTGAAAGTAAGAATCGATGAACGTAAATTTATTTTCTTTCTTTGCAGAGTTTGTGGACCTTTTCATGGGAACTGGTTGATCATTGGGCACTGGTTTCAGCAATATTTTTTCAGGGAATAAAAATTGATTACTATCGTACAATTCATTATATACTTATTTGTTTTTCTGTATTTAGCTGCATTACATTATTGTACATATAAAAAATAACAAAAATGAAATAAAGCTATACTTTACAGATATTCATCCATTTCTTTCTACTTATCTACAACTCTATCCATTTATTCTTTATTTTATTCCTGTCTTTTTATAGAAAAATCAACTTTTCGAAAATAGGTAAATGTATGCTTTGTTGTTATTTTTCATTATCGTAAAACGCAATAAATGATGAGGCGAATATACATAAATATACAAGTTTCTGTTTCTATATTTAGTGGTGTTCACTAGAGGTCTCACGATTCGGGAACACTTCGAACACTTTAACCTCTTCCTCGATCTCGAGAGTTTCTAGACGCCGTAGCACTCACTCTACAGACAAAGTATAGGTTTCCTAATTGTATTTTATTCGTGGCAAGCCACCAAGGATTAGATTCCGTGGCAGGACACGGATCAGTCGAGCAGAAGTTTGTCGCACATGTAGTAGGATCAGATTTATAGCGACACAAAGCGTCCACTGTCGCCTGAAACACGTCCTCGTATTCCGGATATCTATTGATTTTGGCCTGTTGCCACTCCAGCGTGTGATTGGCATCGTTCAGAGTCTGGAACATGTAGTCCCCGGTGGTCATTCTCTCGTAGATGACGGAGTACAGGTTGTTGGGGTAAGCTTCGTGGCGCATTCTGTTCAGCATCGTGTAGACGACCCCGAGCTTGGCCGCCATTGGTTCACCGCGGGCCTCTCCGAACACGACCCGGCCCACAATGTCAAAATACCTGCCGTCACTGAAAAGATATAGATATAAATCATCATCATCATGGTTCCTTCTGGTTTTTGGTGGAACATAGGGCCTCGGCAACGGTCAAAGATATATAAGTTACTGAAATATGTAGCATGATCAGACTAGTAAGAGAATAAGGTTTCTTATGAACGAGGGTGTAGCTACATTCTAAAAATTTCAAGACTTTTCCGCCATAAATTTGATTCCACAGAAGCTCCCTTCAGGACCCTTACCCTGAACATTTTAACTTATCACGTGTTTGCCGATAAAAATGAAAGTATTCTTTGCTGCAATCATTTCATTTTTTTTCGAATATGCTTATATTATTGTGGCAATCAAAACAAAAATTATCTCGTTGATTATAAAAAGCTATAAAAATATCCTAGAATTTGTTATCCATGAAAAGGAGGGAAATGTTAATCTAAGACTTTAATTTTTGTTGTTGTTACAAAACAATGCTATTCTGCATTAAATATGAAATTAAAAGGTTCTTTTTTACCAAACGTTTTACCTTATTTTATTAATCTGGAATGAAAAGAATTAAATTTATATCTAAAAAAAGTATTTTTCTATGGTGAAATTATTAATTATCATATTAGAATTTTCTTACAGATAGATAGTATTTACTGGATGACAGACATGTTCTTTCGTACGACGAGACACATTCAAATTTTTATTGACGTCCCTTGGTGCACCTTGACGTTTTTGTCTAAGCAAGAGACGGTGGAAAAATCATAATTTACATCCCGTTAATAAAAATAAACGTCATGCCTAATGAACAAAATGATCATTGTAATTAGGACAAGATGATGGCCATTTCTAATCTAGTATGCATGAACATGAAGTATGAGTCAACATACGTTAAAATGTTGTCACTTCTTGTTTAACCACTTTTACTGAAGAAATAGACAAAGACAGTGTCTTTAAAATTGCTTGCTATTTGGTTATGTGTGATTTGATTTACAACTGAAAATTCACAATGATTTATTTTTTCAGTCATTCGAGAGGTTTAGTTCTACGTTTTCCTTCAGGAAAATAAATAAAATTATTTTTTTTAATTAACTTAGTAGCTTATGCAACTGTACAATGTCTATCTATTGAAAAAAATCTAGAAATCTCTTCCCATTAAATGCATAGTTTCAAAATCTTATAACAAATCAACAGTAAATACAACCTGTTAGTTTCCAATTATCCCCTCAGTAGATAGTTTTGTCCTCATTAGAGGGTAGACATTAACATCAAAGATAAGTTTAAATCTGTTCAGAATTAAAAACACCAGTTGCCTAATTAAACAGAGATTAAACTCAATATAAGTAAAGTAGCGTACTTACCAAAGCTTACAGTGGACAGGTTGGAGAAAAGAAAGAAAAAGGAATATAATGTTTACAAAATTACACATATTGTGTTGTTTTCAAGGCAGTTCCAAATGATGAATCCTTAGTACATTTTATTAATTATACGAGAGAAAGGCGTGCGCCTTATTCATATGTCGCGGTGTCATGCAAGTTCATGTCAATTTTGTATTAAAAAGTCTCATAAGAACAATGACGAATTGTCATCATAAATTACAGCTGTCTCTCTAAAGGTAAACAGAATTGGATCAAATAAAAAAAATTAAATCATGATAAAAATGATTCAATTATTGTTACATGTAAGAAAATACTGCACGTAATACATATTCCATTTCCTACTGGTGACCTTTACAAAAAGGCAAAAAATGAGAAATGCGTCAAAATATATTTTGTTGTTGTTGTTATAATTGTGGTGGTTTTGTATGGTGCAAATCTATCTAAATCATTCCGATTATTTTTAAACAGGAGTGAGGGAAAATGATCCCTTCTGAATAAGTCATATTGATTTATCATGATTTATCATTGATTTATCATGTTATAGTGAAATGAGTTGCTTCGATTGAAAATTTTACGCCCCCAAAATGAATTACAATTTGCATAATCTATATTCTCCAAATACTTAGAAAATCTACAATTTTATAAATAACAAGAATTTCTTGATAGGTTACAGCTTTTATGACTTATAATTTACTGAAAACGTAACAGAAGTTAACAATGACGGTGGTCTTCCAAAAAGAAAACCTTTGGCTATATAAACCAGAAATTAATCTACGGCCGTGGGGCTATTGAGATGTTTGGACGACGGACAAAAAAGATTCAACAAATAAATGACATTGAACTGAAATGCGTTTAAAGGTTATAATTCACTTTTTCATTACACTGTAAAAAAAAAATAGCTAGTTAAAGTCACAAAGAAAACTAGTAAATTTACTGTCCATACAATCACTACCTTAAAAGTAGTTTTACCAGATATTGGTATATTTACTAGATAAGATTAGTAAATTAGTAGAATTGATAAATAACTTTCACTAGGTATCTAAGTATCTATACGACCCCCACAACTCACTAACTTAACCAGTAAACCGAAAGTTTACTAATCACGACCAACGCTTTACGAGGCACACTAGTTAAATTCACTAGGTTTTTCTTTCAGTGTTTTATATCATGTAGATCTATCATTAAAAAAATAAATTGTATAAAATTTGTTACACGAGCAAAAGGAACAATGCCTTTTAATATTCTCTTAGGATACATTTAACGGTCTTACATGCACGAGATTTTTATGGGTGTGGTTGTTCTCCATAAAGACAGAACTAAGCCTTAAACGTCACATCAAACAGTTAAAATTTCCAGGCATTATCCGCGTGTAATTCTTGTATATTTTTAGAGCCTACCAGGATGTCATAAATTTTTTGTCAGTTAAAATTATCAGGGAGAAATCATTATTTATACTGGGTCATCGCAAATGGAAATATTAGCTTTTTCAAGAATAATGACTGCGTTGGAAGACCATTAAATCCTTTTCTAAAAGAAAAAGCTCGTGATTATTCATATACAACAAATATCAGAGAACACATAGGAATATATTACAAATTTTCTGACCTTTTTTTACTCAGTTTTTCATACCTCTTCAGATCTGCAACTCGTAAAAGAATAAAAAATAATCCAAACCTCTTTGTTAAAATGATCAAACAATAGGCAGACAATATTTTACACATAGATTATCATGATAAATGAAATATATGGATATAGCAAAGAGTATTCAAGCTTAAACTTTAAAACAATAAAAACCACAAGCAGAACAAACACGGACCTCTAATATATTGGAGATGGGATAAGGTGCCATGAACGAGTGAGCATCTCCTGCCGGTGTAAAGACGAATAATGACCCCCATCGAATAATGACCGGGGGGTCATTTTTCAACGACAAAAAATGACCCCCACCCGTAGAAAAAAATCATTTTTTGTAGAAAAAGGGTCCTAGGAGGTCATTATTTTATATGTTAGTCCTATAAAATAATGACCCCCATTGAAAAATGACCCCCTTTAAAGTGATATAAATTTACACTCTTTGATATCTTTTTTACAGCGAAACTTATTTTTACATTTTCTGTAACCAGAAAAATACAAAAAGTCGTATGAAATAATTAAGAGATTCACGTAGTCTTTCAATGCTAAAATTGTGTTTGAAAAGAGATTCTTTAATTGTCAAGTAAATAAAATTTCTTTTTAATATTCCTCCTTATAATGTTTGCTTAAAGAATGATATTCCACTTGTTTTTAGAAATCAAACCATGCAAAAATCAGGTTTAAATACTCTTTAATAGGAAAAATTAAATTTTCCGTCATTTCAACTTTTAGTTTGTTTAAGTTTGGCAAATCCTATTTGACAACGAAAGAGGAGAAAATCCCCCCCCCCCCAAAAAAAAAGAACATTACGTTAAATCAAAACAAAAAAAAAATAATAAATGAAAAGCAAAAATATAAATAAAACTCTATACCTTTCAATAATTCTGAAAGAGGCTCTAGATAAAATATTGAAATGAAGTTAAGCCTTCACACAAGTACTATCATATCATAATTTACTTCGCCATGATTAAAGCATACTTTAAATGTTGGTGGAGGTATACTTGAAAGTATTGTGGCAAAGTAACAGTTAAAAATTACTAGAATAGTAGTTTATTTTTAGCTTTTTTAATTCCTTCTTATAGAAAAATAAAGGTATGGTGTTTTTTTTTTGCCTTTGTTCAATATCGACTTCCTCCTAAATACGAAAGGGGGTGGGGTAAGTATAAGACCTAAAAATATGCTCTGTAAAGCTAAGGGCTAGTGTAAAATACACAGTCATTCTAATGCAAAAACTATACATGTAGACATAAACTTTTGATTTAGCACACAGTATTCATTACATTTCTTTTAACGTAGAGCCTACTTCGTATGACATCATAACTGGTAAATGTGTTAAACCTGTGCTAACCCATTAAGACGTCATAATTTATTCAATGCCACTTTTACCCGTACTTGACAGCTTCAGTAAAAATGGTAGAAAATACTGCATTTTGGAATTCACAGAATTCAATCATGCCAACATAATCTTAATTCAATTTATATATTTTTTGGTTTATAATGCTTAATCATGGCAATATATTTCTGGAATAAGAGAAAATATGTAGGCACCTTTTATTTACTAGATCTAGACTGAAGTTTACAAACCCAAGACTGTCTAGCGTAATGAAATTACAATGTACATACAACTTTCGTAATAATTTGAATGGTATGTAACCATTTTGAAGGAATGCATAAATCGTAAGAAATCTTTAGTTGCCAGCTATATCATGTATATAGTGTAATATCTTGATGGAATCAGTCTAAGTCTATCTTGATGAAATGTGTGTACGTGTTGTAGATCGTTTGATCGTGTGTACATTTTTGTGATATCTATAATGAAATGATGTGCATTCCTTTTAACAATTATTTGTTACCTAGTCATATTCTTGGTGTTTGATTACAATTTTTCTATTAAATATGATCTTTTTAAAGTAAAAGTACAATTTCTGATAAATATTTAATCTGAAAGTAACCCCAAAAAGTCATTTAATTATTAAATCCCGTGTTAGTGCAAAAAGGTCAAGAATATGAGTATCGGTAAATAGCCTATCTTTCATTAGTTAGAAGGGAAAGGTATATATTTTAATCATTTTTGTAATCATTTGGCTATGTTCTTCATCATATTGAAGATTGAAAACATTGTGACAAAGACTTCTAAAAATATTTACAAATATACATGTAGGGTGCATAATTGACTAAAAATAATAGAGTTCATTTGACTATTTTTCTTAATTTTTTATGTTAATTGAATAAAAAAGAAATTATTCTTGATCATAAAAAAGTTTATAAACGACGATGTTTGAAGAAGTATTTTTGTGATTTTTCATATTCCCTTTATGACAAGTACCCCTAAAAATATTTGAAAATGTGAAGTCGCAGTATGTAAATATCATACCAAGTTTCACAGCCTGTTCTAGATTAAAAAACAAGGAAACATATCATGATGTCTTAACTGATTGATAAGCAAGTACTAATTTATCATTTTGAAAAGTTTGAAAATCATGTGACAAAGACTTTTCCGACATAGGTTCTATGGTAACCTTAATTCTTGTTTTACTCCATCCTTTTACTCAGTTCTGAGTATCTTTGTCAGAGAATTTAATATGAAAATCAGAAGAAACATTTTCATCGTTGTAACGTCTTCTTTATAATGTATATTAATATGAAAAGTTAATTGAAGACCATTTTCTTTTTATGTCCCCGTCATCGAAGATTCGGGGGTATATAGTTTTATCGTGTTCGTCTGTATGTCCGTCTGTCTATCTGGCGGTTTGTTTGTCCGCAAAAACTTTAACCTTTACCATAACTTTTCATTTATTGGAGCTATGACTTTCATATTTAATATGTATATTCCTTGTGACAAGACCTTACTTTGGGTACCACCAAATTTGACCTTTTGACCTTTACCTTGGATTTTGTCCCATTTTACACAAAAATGCCAAATTTTTACTTTGGCCATAATTTTTCAACGGTAGATACTAGTACTCTCATACTTCAAATATGTAGATTTTTGGCATTACCTTTCATTGGATGCTAAAAACCCTGACCCTTTGACCTTGACCTTGGAGTTTTCCGTACTTATGATTTTTTTTTAACTTGGCCATAACTTTTGAACAGTAAGGGCTAGGGTATTCATACTTCACATATGTAATTCTTGTTACATTAAACATTTTCTTAAGAAATCATCAACTTTGACCTTTGAGTTTGACCTACCTTTCAAAAACTTATCCTTAGCCATTACTTTTGAACAAGTGGTGCTAGGGCTTTCCTATTTTGCAGTTGTATTTTTTGTGAGAAAACCCTACTTTGGGTAACAATATATTTAAATTGCAGTTAAGAAAAGTTTAATCTTCGCTATGTTGCCATACAGGGGCATAGCTGTTTCACAAACACATCTTTTTATATATGAGGATTTGCGGATAAGAGATGGATACCTCAAAGCGTAACAGACGGACGGACGGACATCCCGATCACTATATACCCTCCCGCTTTTCAAGCGGAGGATATAATGATATATAATACTGCTGATTTTTTCTGTCAGTTCGATG